TAAAAATGAGCGGTTTGCGATCGTGATTTTACTTTACTTGATAGGGAAAGGCGTATCGGCAACGCCGCAACAGCACACCGTCGCGCGTCGCTTCGGTCGGTCGCATTTCTCTCACTCCGACTTAATAAGATCCATATGCGATTTACTTCCACACATGTTAATCCCGACCCAAAAGTAACAGTTGCCAGCACGGTATACCCTACCAAAAATAACAACATTTAAATTCAATTTCGTTGCTGTTTTATCTCATGCACGATCTTATTATTAACTTTGCCGTAAAAATAGCTAGGAAAGAAAAAAAACAAATAAAATAAGGGTAGTTTACGAGTTAAAACGCAAAGAAAATGGAACAAAAATGATCCGGCGAACAGCGAGACGCTCCGAAACGAATTTAGAGTAATTTTAAACGGTATGGGAGATAAATTGCTTTTAAGTTTAAACGTCCAGACGAAAAAATAATTGAAAAACTTGATTTAATTTAGAACTTTAAGTTTAGAAACATATTTTCAGTCGTATCTTGTAACTGTAATGAATAGGAAAACATTAGAGCTAATTAAAAGATAAATTTCGATAATATTATATGTTCGGAAAAAAACGGCGTCAAAGTAGCCTTTTTTAGGCCTTACGTGGCCTGTACTCTTCTTTGTTTTTTAATGGCGCTTACTGGCAGTTAGTCTTAAGAGTCTATTACGCTGTATACCGTGCTGGCAACTGTTACGTTTGGGTCGGCATTTACATGTGTGGAAGTAAATCGCATAGGGATCTTACTAAGTCGGAGTGAGAGAAATGCGACCAACCGAGGCGACGCGCAACGGTGTGCTGTTGCGGCGTTGCCGATACGCCTTTTTTCAAGAGATAACTAGATAAAATCATTAGACATGTTTCTGAGCATCTGAAATGGAATTATAAGGATATTGTTAGGGTGACTCAACTTTTTAACACATAACAGGCCATAACTCAAGAACCACTTTAGATATTGAAACTTTTTTTTATTTTCAAGATCGGATATTTTACAATATGTTTACATAAGAAAAATTCGATAAGGTTGTTTTTTCCATTCAAAAATTGTAAACAATCCATCCATTTACTTTTAGAGCATAACAATTTTCAGCAATCGTGTAATTTTTTTATTGATAAAGATTTTCACATACTGCCTACAAAGAAAATACAGCAGAAATATTAACAAAGTTCTTGAAAAAACTACAATCTATTATTTCTAATAGATTTCGAGATATCGATTTTTGAATTCAGAGTTCTAATAGCGTGACCACTATCGAACACCCACTCAATTCCACTTATTTTTAACAAAAATGCAAGTGTTTCTAGCTTGCACTTAAAAATATTCAAGATATATGGAAAATTACAACGACTCGTTAATAAATAAACAAATTAAGTATCACGAAACGTAATTAAATCGTGAAGCTGAACGCATGACGTACACCTTTCCCTAGAACTTTAAGTACTGACAGAGGTATTGATTGGGTCGACCGGTCAACTGCGACAAATCTGCTATATCCCCTTCCACGTCTCTTAGCGATGTGCACAGTTTCTCGGTTTATTTCACAGTTTGGCAACGTGTTTACTGTCCTCTCTTTGTTCAGTACATTATAAACGCATTGTACTTTAAGTATTATAATTCCCCAGCCATCTTTGACGACGTTTTTTTTACTTATTACTCACTTGAAGGAAAATCATTGCCTGTGATAAATTTAAATGGTTCAAAAATATTTATAAATAACTTTTTGATTACTTCCGGTATGTTTTAAAGCCTTAAGCTAAATTCTCATTTCAAATAGATTACAATCTATTTATAAATATGAAATCTAAAAATGTCTGTCATATCTGGGATTTGTGCTGGATGTATTTCTATTTTATATGTTTTTTTTTATTTTAATAAAACCAACCGGCTTTGAACTGGTACATATTTATTTTTCCAAAAACGATTATGGTTATTTTAATAAACAAAAAATTGGTCAAGTGCGAGTCGGACTCGCGCACGCAGGGTTCTGTACCATTCATTATCTATACAACATTAGATACTATATTATTATAAACTTTTTTTTTCCGATTTAGCTGAAATTATGAATGCGCGTATAAGTAATTTAAAAAAAATTAAGAAACACATAACTAAAAATTGTATTAATCAATAATAAATATGTGAAAAGTAAAAATAAATATGTAAAAATTAAAAAAAAAACGATTAAAAAAAAGATTCGCCGTGACTAGGATTCGAACCTGCCTTACTACAGCTCCAACGTCATAGCAGCGTAAACTCCTAACGCTTTAACCACGCGGCCACCGAGAACTTGAAAGATTTTATGTAAAATTCTTACTTAAAAAATAATGTTTAGTAAAAGTACTTTTTTATTTATAAACATTTATTTAATTCTGTTTTCAGTATTTGTTTTTATAGCGGCAACATTATCTGTGAAAATTTCAACTGTCTAGCTATAACGGTGCACAAGATAGACCTTTGTGACAGACGGACGGACGGACGGACAGCAAAGTCTTAGTAACAGGGTTCCCGTTTTTACCCTTTGGGTACGGAACCCTAAAAACAACAAAAATGTTTATATCTGACAAGTGATACATAAGACCGTCCAATATTTTCCAGAAATTGAACTGTGATAGACTTGGAGACTTACCGATTCCACATAAACAACCACAAAAACGTTGATTGATTTCCTCTGACCTGGGTTATGCATCATTAATCTTTTACTTGCCTTCCAAGCCGTGTTTTTACCATTTCCAAATATTAATGATCAACATAGATCTGTTATTAATCACACAATTTGACGTGTTTCTTTCAATCCTTTGGTTTGTACCTTAAAATTACAAAATTACTATCGTACTATGCAGAATTATGAAATAATTTTATTTTACTTTTTGTTTGAGAATCAAAAGATTCCTTAGCTTGTGCAGTTTACAAAATATAATTTAGGTTAAGTCAATTTATTTAATAAAATAGCGGTATAGGGTATACAGGGTGATACACAGGAATAGTGAATTAATTTCGGAAGACGATAATGCAATTTTATCGTCGTGTATAAAACAATATTTTTTTCCATAGCAAGTTACGTTTTAAAAAGTATTCAAAAATTATTATTTGAAGGAATTTATTACAAGTAGAAAACAGATTGTGCTGGGTTGGCGTTGGTTTCTATGTAATTTGACAAGTAAATAAAGCTGTCTCTTTAGTTGTCAGTTTTGAGTCAATATTTTTTAATTCTCTTTCGTGTCGATTGCTGATTGCATCGGAGCCAGAAATGGCTCAAAACGAAATAAGTAATTTACCAACAGATATTCAGGCTGAGGCGACAAACGCCATATCCAAACTACTTCCATTTAAATCCAGAATAACTTATGAAAAGGAATACAAAATTTTTCAAAAATGGAAGCAATTAAAAAACGTGCGAGAAGAAATAAAGTTTTTAACCTATCCTCGCTGTTAAAGTATCATTTAATCTGCCCTTCCAGTTAAAGTACTATTTTTGATAAATATAAGGCAATTTTAACAGTTGCTTGGAAAAAAAGTGCTTTACTTTTATGCCTAGGCATTAAAGTAACTTTTTATATTGTCAATCACGTCGCAAAAATTAATACTTTTATGACGTTTGAAAAAATATATTTTTGCAACATTGTACAGTAAAGTTTGATCATTGCTTTTATTGAAATTTACAAACCAGTATATAAAAACTTTCGAAAAATAATCAACTTTGGAAAATGTTTAGTTATATTTTTGTATTATTTGTTTATGAATTATGTAAATTTTATTATTTTAACCGTTCATATCCCTATTTAAAATTCATTTTTAAGCAACGGGAACTTGTTTTTAAAGTGAAAACATTAATGGATTGACTAGGAGTAACCTAACATGTATTACAAACTATAAACTTTAGATAGACCTACACGTGCATATATAATTACGTTGATGATCGCATTAAAATTAGTGCATTAAATTTAAAGCCTAGTAGCTTATAGATCAGCCTTTATGCCATATATGAAGACCAATTTCCACTGATATAATTTAATAACGGCTTTTCTATATAATAAAAAGGCAAAACTACACAAAATATGTTTGCAATCTATTTGCATTTGCAAGTGAGAAACAAAAATGAGACATTAATGTGAATATGACCAAATAATATGTAGATACTTGACTGAGATTCTCTCCAAAAAAATCCTTTATGGGTATTTCGCCACTGCACTGCAAGAAAATACTGCTTGTCAGAAGTTATGTTTACAGTTATACAAATTTGCCTAACAAAGAAAAAATGCTTAACGTTTCGGAAAGTTTATCTCTTTCCGTCGTCGGAAGCAAAAAAAAAATACGAAGAATAAAGCAAAAAACCATTTAAAATATTTAAAATCAACTATTCGAGAACACTTTATTTTTTTAAAACAGATACGTCTACAAGAAATCGTTGACGTTCTGTTAAAATGACATTATATCAAGTTAAACTTCAAAATTAACAATTACTACCTGATAACAATTACTTAATAAGGTAAAACCAGAGAGGGTAAAACCAAAAAGTGCCAAACATTCTGTATGATTATTTTTAAATTTTACGTATGTTATGTTTATTTATGTTATGTTCTTTAAAATCAAAGAAGCGATTGCCATACATTACTAACATCTACAGATGCATGAGTAATACATTTATTTTTATTAGATTGAATTAAAAAAGCCTCTTTTATTTTTCTTTTAGAAGCTGTCGCTTCTTTCATTATAATTTTGGCGTTATTAAAATTTATTCTGTACCAATGACCTCTAAATAAAGTTCTGTACCTTGTGTCCCAGGAATGCTGACAAATCTTAGATTTTCACTAATCTAAGGTTGCAGTGCAGTCGAAATACCGATAAAGGATTTTTTTGGAGAGATGAATCCGCCACATTGGTATAGACATTTTTGAGTGAGATTGTATCTCAAAATTATGAAAATGGCTATCCTAACCAACTAAATTATGAAAAAGCACATCATTTTTTCTTTTTGTTCTAGAATTAAGGGATTTCTTAGCCTAGACGTGGATATATCTCATTTGGAAGTGGATCAATGCGAAGCTCAATTAGGATCAGCCTCGACAAACACTATGACAGTCTTCCACGGATCTCACAAATGTCACAATCTCACTTCACAGGTAAATTTTCTTAGATATAGTAATGTACGACAATCAAAATACCTACAAGAAATTAACTAAATAATAAGTGTTTAGTTTTTTTTTGAATGTCTATCTGAATTAAATCAATACAAAATATAACAAGACATAAATAAAAATTGTTATAGCAATATAGTTTACTAGCGTGTACTTCGTTCGTGTCGAATTAATCATTTGTAATGGCGATGATAAAGCAAAGCAGAAGAATTTCCATTAAAATACAAACTGGATAAAATTTTCTCGCATTTATGTCAGCATGAGAAAAAACAATAAGGAGATATTATTATATAACTTGGTAGTATTTGAGGGGTAGTTTCATCTCGTTGGAATTTGTCTTTCGAAAAATCCGTTTGCCAAAAATAAGCTTTTTACGTCAAGCAGGTTAAGCAGAATCGTGGTTAAGCAATTACCCAACTTTTTGGAACACCCTGTATGATTTTTTAAAAAATTTCAAAATATGTAAAAAAACCAAATAAATTATGCTTGTCCAAGCGTTTTCCCGAAAGACTAACCGTTTTTTAAATAACAAATATTGTAATATTTGAGGGGCGTTTTCACCCTCTTGGAATTTGAGATTCGAGAAACCCCTCCTTATCGAACCTCTACACCCCACAGTCAATCCGTTTGCCAAAAATCAGCTGTAAATGTTAAGCAGTTTAAGCAGACTCGTGATTACTCAATGGTCATATTTTATGAAACACCCTGTATAAATTTATAAAAATCTTAAAATATGAAAAACAACAAAATAAAATATACGTGTTTAAGTATTTTTCCGAAAAACTCACTGGTTTTTAAATAAAAAATATTTTAACATTTGAGGGATAGTTTCACCCCCTTAGAATTCGAGTTTCGAAAAATCCCTTCTTATCGAACCTCTACACCCTAAAGTCAATCTGTTTTCCAAAAATCAGCTTTTTACGTCAAGCGCTTTAAGCAGGTTCGTGATTAATCAATGACCAGATTTTTCGAAACACCCTGTATACATTTTTAAAAAATCTTAAAATACGTAAAAAACAAAATAAAATAAACGTGTTTAAGCGCTTTTTCGGAAACTTGACCGTTTTTTAAATAAAAAATATTGTAATATTTGAGGGGTGGTTTCACACTCTTGGAACTGGAATTTCGAAAAATTCTTTCTTATCGAACCTCTACACACTAGAATCAACCTGTATGCTAAAATTGAGCTTCTTACGTTTGAGTGGTTTGAGCAGGATCGTAATTAATCAGTATGTCAGTCACTTAAGGATTTTATATATTAGTATAGATAGTTGCAAGATTCGAGCAGTAAAAGCAAATAGTGCAGCACAAAAAAAGTACGTTCAAATGAAATCAATCATCTACGAAACAATTTGTTTAAATAAGAGATATCATTACTAAAATGTTCGTAAGGAATATCGATATTTAAAATAAAGTATCGATATTTTCAAATATCGATCTATTTTGTACATCCCTACCTGGAAACTGAAAACGTAAGGGACTTAACGAGCAACATGTTACGAGATGGGTCAAGGGTCATCCATGGCTAACCTGGACAAGGGAATTGAAACGCATACCGGAAATATACCGTATCGACATCCTTCCTCAAACATCGACCTGCCGGAGATTGAAACATAAACAGAACGGATTGGTTTAGTTAATTTCGGTTGATTAGCTGTGGTGGTTGTAATTCTATCCATTAATTTATGGGTATTTAGGGCGCATCCATGAGGATATTTTGATTATTATACAGGGTGGTACGAACTGTATTCCGGAAACTTTGCCAGCATATTCTGCAGATAAAAATAAGTAAAAAAGTTCGTATAAATGTATGTTCTAAAATGCTTAGTTTCGGAGATACAGGGTGTAGAAGTTTCATTTTTATTTCGATTTTTTCCAAATAATTTCTGAAGTAACGTCAATATTAATATTAATTAATACGCTCATGTAGTCGACGCGTAGCTCTGTCAACGACGCGACGCGTTGTCAAACAGATAAAAAAATTATTTAGAAAATGATCGAAATAACGGAAATAAACAAATTTTTCGAGAAACTTACACGTTTAAAACTTGTATTGGATTTCTAGGAAGACTTTACGGTAAAAAAATCATTCCCAAATAAGTGTTTCCGCAAGAAATTACAAAAAATATCTGAAAAAAATGATGTAAGACTTCCTTGCAGGTGTGCTCTGGCCTATTGAAGGCGTGGAAAAAAATTTTGATGGTTATGATGTGGTTATGTTGTTAGAATCGATATAAATATTGAGGATTTTTTGTTATTTAAATAGAGATTTAAAGAGGGAGGTAATTTTTACAACTAAAGGCCTTCGACAGGGATGTCCTCTGTTGCCTCTTTTATTTAGTCTGTATTTGGAAGTGGTTCTTATGGACTGGAAGAAGAGGTGTGGGGAATGGGCGTCCCTGTAGGAGATGACTGTTTGGTTACATTAAATTTTGCCGATGATCAGGTGGTCATACCTCATGATGCTTACGACCTTGAATTCATGATGAGCAGGTTAAATTCGGCATACACGGAATGGGGCCTTACTGTGAACATTGATAAAACGGAATACCTACTGACTAATTCAGATGATAAATTTGACATTTTCATTTCTGACAATGCAAAGCTCAAAGAGGTTGAATGGTTTAGATACTTGGGGGCACGTATAACCAGAAAGGGGCTGGACAAAACAGAAGTATCTGCTAGAATAGAACAAGGGCGGAAGATTATAGGAGCACTGAATGGCATCTGGTGGGACAAAAACATAAGACCAAACACAAAAGTACATATTGGAAGAGCCCTAGTGGAGTCGGTTGGGTGTGAAGTTTGGACCTTAAAAGCTGAACAAAAGCGAGCTTTGAATGCACTCGAAATGGACTATTTGATACGCAGTGCGAGAATATCTAAACTGGACAGAGTTAGGAACGTGGAAATCAGAGCCAAAATGGATGCCACACAGACAATAGTGGATAGAGTCGAACAGAGGGGCTTTAAGTGGTTTGGACACTTACTACGCATGGAACACCAAAGATGGCCCTACCGTATCTACAGCTGGTCACCACCTGGAAAAAGGGAAAGAGGACGGGCTAGAAGATCCTGGAATGAGGCCATCAGAAGGGCAATGGAGGACCGTAACTTGGAAGAGGAAGATGTTCTTGATCGTAACAGGTGGCGGTTAGGAGTGGGGATGCGACGTTAGTTGCGACAACCCTGGAGTATATATATAAATAGAGATTTTAATGAAAAAATATTGTTAGGGTAGAAAACACTTTTTTACCTGAATTTTTTCTTCTTATTTTCAGTGTATCACAAAATTTTCACTGCATACGTCAACATGGTCCAGAGGAAGATACCAGTGCCATTGTAGAAAAGGATTTTATTCACCGTATCATGGGGGAATCTTCAACGGATCATTGGTTGAAGGTAAAATTTAAATTTGATACTCTTAAAAAAACTTTATTTTTTTGCCACTAGAAGAATATCTACAAAATCAAAAAGTATTTTTTTAGAAGACTTTTTGAAATGAAACTTCTTTACTCCCATGGCTACTTTGGTTATATGTTGTTGGTATTCCATAGAAATTGAGTTTATAATTTGTTTATATATTATTTTTTTTTGTCTTGTTTCAGTGGCTTGGGAGGAAAAACTAGAAAACTCGAGTGACTCGTGGGGCAGCATTTTTCAATGTAGACAGTGTGCTCCTGGCTGTCATTTTTGTGTTGACGAATCTCCGTGTTTGGCCAGCTATTCCTGGCCATTCAGGTAAAGTATCATAGAAATTTAATTTGATTTGAAAAAAAAATATTAATTAAAAAACCAGGAAATTCTCGAATTTGTATCGTACAACTGATACGGTTCTTGTGATGTCAAAATGACCTACACTATCGGACAAAAGTAGAGCAACAAAGTTCATTTTTATTCATGTTTGAATAAAAAAAAATATTAGGTTGTGATTTTCGGCTATGTTTACTAACACACTATCCTTACACTATTACTATAATACTATTTTAGTACTAGTACTATTTTGGTGTACTTTTAATCAGTTTAAAAATGGTAAATAATATTGATTATAAAAATTGATAAGAATAGGGGCGACAAAAGTAGAACAACAAATTGTATTCAACAAATTTTATTGTGTCTTATTTCAACAAAAAATATTTAACACATTTAAGAACAATACTAATTGAAAGTCATACATTAGTAATTGGTAGAATATCCATTATTATTAATAACTTGCTGACAACGGCGTGGCATTGAACCAATCAACTTCTGAATGACATTTTCGGAAAGATTTGTACAAACTTCATTAATTTTATCTATCAAGGATTGTTTATTTGGAAACATTTGGGTACAAATACGACGTTCTACTTCTTCCCAGAGATTGTCGATGGGGTTAAGGTTTGGGGATTCTGCTGGCCATTGCAAAACTCGAACGTCATTTTCCCTAAACCACTTTTAAACAACTTGTGAAGAGTGTTTTGGATCGTTGTACAGTTGGAAAATAAAACGCAGTGACATTTCCCATTCTGCATAAGGAAGCATAATATTCTGCATGATATCCCTATAAACAAATTGGTCCATCATGTCATTAATAAAGTGTATAGTGCCTATCCCATTCCATGAGAAGCAACCCCATATAAATACACTGCCTTTACCGTGTTTAATTGTAGATGTTACGTATTTAGTATCAAACCTTGTATTGATTGATCGCCTCACACGTCTCATTCCATCAGAATTGAATATTTTGTAGCGAGTTTCATCACTGAACAGAACTTTTTTCCAGTCATTGACGGTCCAGTTTAAATGCCGACGTGCGAATGCCAACCTTGCTCCTCTATTTCTTTCCATGGGACGAAGGGGTGCAATTGAGTGGCTTCCCTGGTTACCCGACTTGACTCCTTTAAACTTTCGGATTTCGGAAACTAACGGCTTTTTGGTTGGACGTCTACTAAATAACTTTGCATCTACTAATCTTCTTTGTACTGTTCGTATACCAACCGTAATTTCTGGAATTTCAGCAATAATTCTAGGTGCGGACTTCCAAGGAACAAGCAATTCTTTTGATGCGTCTGTCGGTCATTACTGTTGTTTTCTTTGGCCTTCCCGATTTTGGCAACTTTTCTAAGTGTCCCCTGTTATTATACGATGAAATTATTTTAGATACACTGTACCGGGGTAACACAAACTGTCTTGAAATATTGGCTTGTTTGTTACCTTCCATGCATGCATTCACAACTCTTTGCTTCAAGACTTTTGAAATTGGCATGACTAATCCAGCATAGAAATGTTTAAAAAAACATAAAATAAACCTCGCAGAATTATTTTGGGCTTTACTTTTGCTAAAACCCTTCTTTGGAATGAATTATTTGAATGTTGCTCTACTTTTGACGCGTTAAGCATTTAAAACTAAATGTCAAAATAAATTCATTTGTTTTATTAGTAAAAATTCTTGTTGTCATCGATACTCATAGCCTACTTCGTAGTTTTTAAATTTATTGTATTTGTATACATTATCATGCATGATATAATTAAAAAATCGCGATTTGCAAATATTTCTTGAAGTGTTGCTCTACTTTTGTCCGATAGTGTATGTTTCTACACCTTTTAGTTTGAATACTATCACTTTATTGAATACGTCAATCAATTCTAATTTATGTCATATACTAATATACCAAATCTCGTTTTTTTTTATCTCAAAATATAAAAAAGTTATAGGAGCCTTTGAGACGCACCCGGTATATATGGAAAAAAATCAAGAAATTGACCATTTTTGACTATTTTTACAGGTTTTCAAGACTATTAGGAAAATATTAAACTTTGTCGTAAAATATTGACAATTTCAGAATTTTTAGGAAATTTTATGTAGAAATATACAAACATTTAAAGAGAATATATGTGAAAAGGAAACAAAAAAGAAACAGAGTATTGTTGAGCCTCAACAGTTTTTATGACAGTTAAAAAAAAACAAGAGAAAGAAATAAAAGCATAAAAACGATGCTTAAGCCCAAACGAAATAAATGTTTTGTTCTTGTCCGGACAAGGGTGCCTTTTTGTGGTGTACAAATTAAGCCTTTGTGGAAAGAAAGAATACAAAAAATGGATCAAAATTTATCTCTTTTAATAGACGAAAATGATGTAATTTAGATGTTTGTCGATCATTTTTTTTTAATAATACTCTTTTTGTTTTATATGTGAAAATGAATAGTTATTGTCTATCCAACGACAGGATCCTTGACAGTGATAGATGTGTCTGTCATTTTAATTTCAAAGTAGTTTATTTTATTTTACAAAGAAATAAGTTGGTACAAGTGGAACGCATAGCAGGAAATTAATATATTTAAAATTTGAGTGACAAGTGATTACTTCAAAATATTGTGAAAAAAACTGTATAAAACTGAAAAGATCTAATCGAGTTATTTTATTTTAAAAAAACCGGCATGTGTTAATACAAAACAAACAAGAACAAAACACCACATACCAGAAAAATATAAAAAAGAACTATTTCTTACTTTCAAGCTTCAAGAAACTTCCCGCATTTATTATATTTATCAATATATAACTTATGTATGTACAAATACAAATTTGTAATATTGCACAGGAATAAATAAAACAACATAAATAAAACAAACTATTATTATTAATAATAACCTCGAATTTTATACCAAGGTTGATTAATTAATTAACTTTAATCTTAATTTTTTTAAACAGTACCTTTTGACATTATTTTTCTGCAGTACTAAAATCCATTATTTACCTATCGTGTGATGTCGATATTTTACAGCTATTCCAGTTTTTAGTATATGTTTAGTACGATCCTGGTACCATATACGAGACGCACTTATCTATGACGAAATGGTATACAAATCTTATTGATGGTAACTTTATTGGTGTATAAGACTTTCTGCCTGGGCACCGAGTATTAACTATAAACTGTACTCTGGGTCTACAGTTAATGTTCCCCCGCTTTTTCTTACACTTGACTTCAAAAGACACAAAACACACGTAATAACACGAATCAAAATGCATCATCTTCCTAAACGTAAGGTATTTGACATAAGTTGAAAATTATAACCTATAATTTGGCAAGCCTCAAAAATCTAAAGGTGAGTTCATACCTTGTTCATACGCATCGGCCTCCGTTTGTCGTTCATCGTTCCGTCAAACCCAAGAACAGTTAACCTAATAGGTCTGCTCATTCAGCCAAAAGTGTCCGCCAGGTGCATGCGAAAACTACTCGCTTTGTGACGTCATTGTAGCCCTTGTCATGGTTATTAGTCCTTATCCGGCAACCAATAATACAGACACGTGCATTATTGGTTACCGAATGCAAAACGTTCATTATTTAGTTTATTTACTTAAACACCTTATATGTATGCAGTATAGAAAATTAACTGTATAAATCGTATTAAATACTCGGATAATGCATTTTTAAGAACAGTAGTTCCCAGCATCACCTTTTGCAAGCATTCTTTTTAGAGTACTTCCATATTTTGCTTCAAAATAATTAATAAACAAAATCGTGGGCACTTAGTATGCACTTTGTCACAATCCACAACACAAAATGAACGTATTTATACACTCTATAGCTCTAAAAACTTTAAAGACACCTTTTTCACATTTAAAATTGACAAAATAATTAACTCAAGATTTATCAGCTGTTACTCATAAGTTTACCATAGGCAACTAATAATACACACTATCATGACAAGGCAAGGACAAGGCTTTGTCAAGAACTACAATGACGTCACAACTGTCAGCTGAAGCGCGGGAAGAGGCGAACGTACGTCTTATGAGGATGAGCAATCCTATTAGTTTACCGTTCTTGCGTCAAACCAAAAAAATTGAAATATGATCTGTCATTTTTGAAATAAACCAATAAAACTGGTTGAAAACAACAAGAGACGACGCCTGACGGGTTTATATTTAAACCCATCCATAGTTAACTTAAAAAATATTAGAAACTTTTTTTAGTAAAATAAATAGATTCATTTTTAGATTAGTCATCTGCTTTTCATCTGTCATCGTCTGTCGAAATCTTACCTGAGAAAAAAACAGAGTTTAGGTTGTTATTATGCACTACCTGGTTATATTGTTATACAGGGTGTCCCCCGATTGTCTTTACAAGAGGAAAAACTTTTTTATTAGTGCTTAGTTTTCATGTTTTTCTTAATTTTCTCTAAAACGGTATGAAAATCTGGAAAAATTTTTTTAGGAAGAATGCATTTTTCTCAAAATGTCAATAATAAAAAAGTTTTTCCTCTTGTAAAGACAATTCGGGGACATACTGTATATTGTTTTTTTTTTCAGAATCACTTTACTCACAGTTAGTATAATTTGCGTGTTCTTCACCATTGTTTTGAACTGTTATATGTTCAAACACCGAAAACTCAAGGTATTCAAAGTTGCAAGTCCGATATTTTTGAGCATAACGCTCTTGGGATGTGCCACTATGTATTTAGAGGTAAGGTTAGCTATATAAATAGAATATTTTAATGTTTTTTTATACAGGGTGGTCCGAACTGTATTCCGGATAAAAATAAGTAAAAAAGTTCGTATAAATGTATGTTCTAAAATGCTTAGTTTCGGAGATAACAGGTTGTAGAAGTTTCATTTTTATTTTGATTTGTTCCAAATAATTTCTGAAGTACCGTTAATATTTGGATGAAAATTGGTGTCAATATGACTCCCCTACTCCTTATAGTTAGGGATTTTGAGAAGGTAAGATGTCTAGAAATGGATCCTGAGAGAGGGAAACGATACAAGTTTCGGGAAGTAGATACATTCACATATCTGAAACAAATGGAGAAAGATAACCAATCAAGCCATGAGCCTTTTAGGCTTTTAGAGCTATTATACCGGGTGTTACATCGTCGGACGGGACATAGGAAATCCCATGTAAATTTTAATGGGGTCAATTACTGGCTTCCCTAATTATTTTAGAGAATAATTCTATTTAGGTTTATTGAAGAGCACTAAAACCCACATTCAAAAGAATAACTTTTTTAATATTTTTGATTAGCTCGTTTACGAGTTATCGCCGATTTCTTTTTAAATATTTCTCCTTTCTTATGGCCCTGTATTGTATTTACTTATGAGCACCAGTCAAGGTAAAAGATAACTGTCAAATGAAGTTGTCATTTCAGAAATTGAAAACTCATTCCTACATCGGAAATCTTAAAGATATATTTATAAATACAAATTAATATGAATTAAAGTAAAATAAAGTAATCAATTACAAGGTTAATTATAGTATTATTACAATATTCAATAACTTATTAATTTAGGAACTATTAAATAGTTAGAACTTTAGGATTTAAGAAGACGTTCAAATATTCCTCCATCGACTGCTAGACAATAACCCAGGCGATCATAAAATGCTCTTCTAACATTCGCTAGTTGGTAAACAGAAATTCTATTGCATTCGGCAGAAATAGCATTTTTTAACTCGTCTAGATTTGGGTATTTTTTATCCTTGTACATCCTGTTTTTTAAATGGCCCCAGAGAAAGAAATCATTTGGCGAAATGTCAGGAGACCTTGCTGGCCAATTTACTGTATGATTTAGGCCCATAACGTTTCGGTTAAAACTATTGTCTAAATATTCCCGAACAGCCAGGGTACTATGTGCCGGGCAGCCATCCATTTGGTACCAAACTTCCTGATTTTCTCTAGCGGCATCATGTAAAGCAGGTAAAATATGATTTTCGAGTAGTTCCAAATAAAATTCTGCATTTAAATCTCGCGTAAGAAATAATGGCCCGGTAATATTGTGTCCTTGTTTCGACAAACCTGTGTTGGTTTTCTTTGTTCCAATATCGATAATTTTGAACATTGGGTTCATTATTTAAGGTAAACGTGCATTCGTCAGTGAAACATATGTTTTTTTAAAAATTCCCTATCCGTGTTTGCTCTTTCCATCATATCAAAACAAAACGCCTGCCGCCGTATTTCGTCCCCATCTCGTAGCTCTTGGTGCTTTTCATATTTGAAGGAATAGTATTTATGTCGTTTCAAAATTCGAAACACTGTAGTGTGATCTATTCCTATTTCATCCTCAAGTTTCCTTGTGCTGATCTTTCCATCGTTCTCTTCCACGCACAATAAAACTTTCAAGTCGGTATCATTTCTTGCATCTTTTCTTTGTTCCTGCCTTGCTTCACATCTGCAGTTATTTATTAGGGTACCTTTGGTCTCAAATCTCTGGATATTCCTTGCGATTGTAGATTTTCCAGGTATCGGTCTATTCGGATACAGAGCAGCAAACATGTCCGACACCTTTTGATAACTATTTCCTTGATAATACAATTTAATCATCAATACTTTTTCTTCGGTAGTGTAATTCATGGCTAATATTTTCGATGTAGGTATGAGTTTTTAATAATAATAATAAAGCACTAAATAGATAAATTTCTGAAATGAGAACTTCATTTGACAGTTATCTTTTACGTTGACTGGTGCTCATAAGTAAATACAGGGCCATAAAAAAGGAGAAATATTTAAAAAGAAATCGGCGATAACTCGTAAACGGGCTAATCAAAAATATCGTTATTCTTTTGAATGTGGGTTTTAGTGCTCTTCAATAAACCTAAATAGAATTATTCTCTAAAATAATTAAGGAAGCCAATAATAATTGACCCCATTAAAATTTACATGGGATTTCCTATGTCCCGCTCGACAATGCAACACACGGTATATGACTCCTATTTGTAGGGAACGCCACCTTCTGTGCTTTAACTCTTCAAAACAGTTAAAATATATGTAAGTGGCGCCCTCTGCAAGTAGGAGTCATATTGCCATTTAAATCAAAAGAAGTAATTGAAAAAAATTCTTACATTATTTTGGAAAATTATTTGGAAAAAACTAAATAAAAATGAAACTTATTTGTTTTTCTTCAGAATATGTTGTCGAAGTTTCTCTATTGCAATTTCGGATCACCCTGTATAACTAATCTAATAGCTTCACTAGGAGTTATTATCTTTTTTTCAATATTCAATTCTCCCTTTTCAATTTTCATATAAAACTTCAAATATGAAAAATGAGAAAATTTAAAACTAGATTCAACAGCGGATGCCTAGATATTTGATTAAATTCATGGAAGGGAAAATTTGTGTTGGGATTTCCAATATATTGACCGAAATCTCTCTGTTCTAAAAATACCGGTAGGTACGTTGATATTTCCATTATTTTTTCCGCGTTCTGGCATGGAAAATTGTGAAACGAACCGCACCATGTTTATCCGCCACACTCCATCGGTTTTATCTAAAAATAATTCACTTCCGACGAGTGATTATATCAATAATGTGGGTTACTTGTTTATTAGATAATAATAATTTGATACTGCGATTGTTAACAAAAACAATATCCGTGTAACAAATATGTTACAGCAAATAATTTCAATTTCTTCCGAAACGCTCGAAGTACTTGGAAGAAAATTATAATAAATCAATTAAATATTAAGACTTTAACACCCTGTAGCTACGAAAAAAAGCAGAATCGGGCCTATGTTGATATGAAAAATAAATCATATTTTTACGTGAGGAATCTCCTCACGAGAGATGGCACGTTTTTTGAAACATCCTGTAAAATGACAGCGATCTGTGTGATCGATCAGATGATTTTATTTTAAGGAAATTTAAGATTTGTTATAGAACTGTCAATAAATGGAAATTACATTCTAAATTTCCATTTTAAATTTTCTATTGCCAATAAATTTTTAAAAATGTATTAGGAAAAAAATAGCACTCACGATCGTTTTCCTTGGAAAATATGGCATCTAATTTATTCTCCTAAGGAAATATGGTTGAAATAAATTTCACATAATCCCATTTGAGTCTTGTCGCCGAAACCCATATAGATCTAACTTTAGAATTAGAATTTAGAATGAGTGGGAGGGGGGTTAATCACTTCGACCTTACAGATCCATTGTGTCCCCCTTTCTTGAATCATAACTCATCATACAGTCCCAGGGCTTTGACAAAAGCCAGTATCTGGGACGGTTTTATAGAGGGTAGTTCTCCATCTCCAATATCAGTCGTACCAAAATTCATGGCACGAATGGTTGTCGTCTCGGCGCACTCAGTGATGAGGTGTACTGGTGTTTCCCCCATCTTCCCCACAGAATCTGCATTCGCCGTTTCTTCTTAGTTTCAATCTACTGAGGTGTTCATTGAGTAACCAGTGTCCTGTCCGAAGAACCCCGTGACAGATCAGATTGTTCTTACTCAGACCAGGAAGATCTGTGATTTTTCTTGATCATCAAGCCCTCAGAAACTTCTTCGAGTGTCCTGACCATTGCAAGATTTCCATTCCAGGTTTTGCGGATTGCCTTCTTTGTTTCTTGAGTTGTTCTTTGATTTCTGCATCTCTATGCATTCTTTGACCAATTTCGAATTGATTGATACTGAGTTGATCGCCGTCAAGCAGCATTAAAGGCGATCAACTCAGTATCAATCAATTCGAAATTGGTCAAAGAATGCATAGAGAAGCTGAATAAATTAGGCAAAGAAAACAAAGTCCTCCTACACTGGGTGCCTGCTCACCAAGGGATAGAAGGCAATGAAAAAGCAAATAATCTAGCTAGGAAAGGAGCGAACACTCCACTAACTGGACCAGAACCGTTCTGCTTTCCAAGTGGTAACCAACTCAAGGCGGAACTCAAGGACTTGGAAGATTCCATCCGCAACCTGGAATGGAAATCTTGCAATGGTCTAGGACACTCGAAGAAGTTTCTGAGGGCTTATGATCAAGAAAAATCACAGATCTTCCTGGGTCTGAGTAAGAACAATCTTCGGATTGTCACGGGGTTTTTAACAGGACACTGTCTCCTCAATGAACACCTCAGTTCTAACTTACTACAAGTGTAAAGTTAAAATATGGCAAAATATTTTCTAGAGAACTAACTTTTCGTAACTAACTTTCTGTTTCTGTACCCATAATATAGTAGTAGTACTTGTAAGTAATATCACAGATTAAGTATACTATATGTATACAGATAAAAATCTTATCCCTAATTCGTGGTACGAAAATTGTTTTTTATGACGATGTGCAAACGAGTCAAATTTCCTGTGCGCAAAAATAAACTCGCGTAAAATAACAATAAACAGCGTAATAGAGAGATATCGCTAAACCGAATAGCGTGCATGGACGTTAATAAGGCCAGGTGTTATTTCTTTTACGTGAGGTGGTATTAACTCTCTTCATTTATAGTTATCGGATCGGAAAGAATTCTGTTCGCGTCGTGTCCGCTATTTAAACTTAACCTAACTTTGAATTTAAAACTTTGAAATTGTTTTGTTTACTATATAGGTATTTTAAAACTGAAGGGCTAAAGTGCTTCTTTCCAGTGCTTTATTGTTCAACGTCTGCCAGTGGGTTTAGAGCAACAAGCAACAAATAATTCTCTTAGAAGAGCTAAGTCGTCATCTGCTGTAAACCTAAAGCTTGTTTCATGTTGCTCCACTGAAAGTTACCAAAAAAAATCATAACCTGAGATAACTTAATTTGTTTTTTATTCGTGTTTACGACCTTTATTTTATATTTTATAGCATACAATAGCTTACTTCGGGTTTCTCTTATTACCGATTCTGAACCGTCCTAGAACTGTGATGCGTATGCGCAAAAGGAAATATGAAAACATTATTTCATTTGCGCATGCGCTGCAGAGTTTTAGGACGGTTCAGAATCGGTAATAACAAGAACCCGAACAAATCTAATATGAGTTCAAATTTGTTTAATGATTATGAATATTGATTACGATTGTGGGATTGGGACAGAAGGCGTAAAATTGCCATTTACTTATTGTTAAAACGTAGAAGAGAACGGTCATTTGGGACATGTGAAATATTTAAATTTCGTAAGCAACAAGGGTGCTTATCGCAATTTAATTCAAGAAATGAGGACAAAAGATGAGAAAAAATTTAGGAATTTTCACAGATTGTCTGTACAGGAGTTTGATAACTTGGTTGAAAAATTGTCACCATATATATCAAAAACATATCATAAACATATGCACGAGAACCCATTTTACCTGGAGAAATCCTTTCAGTTACTTTGTACTTTGTCAGCGTCGTCAAAATAATCGATAACCGATCACAACACCATTCTGCGCAAACGCGAACCTTAAAATCGCTCGAATATTCGCAAAAAGTTGAAAACACTTTAACTTTCCCGCCCCCCAAATTTTAAATCTTGCGAATCGCCAAAATCTTAAAATTTCTGACAGCGCCGCCATGATCATTAAAATTGGACCAATGAGAGCAGTTTCGCAAAATCGCGATTTGCAATTCGCGTCTACATGAACAAGGCTTAAGTCTCTTTATGGAATCCATATTTTGGGCCATATTTATTTAATTAAAACTAATCCCAGCTACTTAAATATCAAATTACCTAATAAAACTAAAGTAATAATTCAAAACAATTCAAACATAACCTAAAATAAAAGATCTCGCCGGCCGGCCGGCCGGCCCCGGTTGTCAAATACCCCCACATGCCCATTTAAGCAATTTTTAAACGTTATTTAGAAATAGCGCTTGGTGTAATTGGTCCGCAAATTACGTCAGACGGTAACGTCATTAGCGGGTGTTGCGTTAAAAATTGACTCGCGCATATAGTAACCATGACTGACCATGATAAGGTACGCGTAAATACTGCATGACGCTATTCGGTTTTCCGATATCTCTCTAATAACTGTGCCGGTCAGGCGCTGTGCACAATTTTAGAGGCCATAAGTGGGCGTGCTATGTGCGCAAACTAGCCACCTAACTAGTGCCCGATTCCGAAAATTGGAACCACGAATAACAATAAAGAAAAAACAAAGATTATAGCTGTATAATCTGTGGTAATATGTAGTAGTACTTAAGATTTGTTTATTAATTAAAAGCTGGTCTGGCAATGTCAACTATCATACGATCGAGAAAAAAAAACGGCGTCAAAGAAGGCTAAGGAATGACAATCGATGATAATTTTGGCGAGGTTAATCTCTAGATATCATTTACTAAAAATTGCCAAAAAAACTTGTCAAAAATTAACACGAATTATAGGAAAGTTAAAAAAGGATAGAACGTTTCCAGACACAATCACATTTCCATTTATAAAAAATATTTTTACTGAATGCAAAAATAAATTACAACTTTCTAAGGCCAACTGGCAGTAAGCGCCATTAAATTATAAAGAAGGGCATGATAAACGGGCCAGGGAATGAAGTCTAAGGCTTGACCTCGTCAAAATTACCATCGATTGTCCTTCCCCAGCCGTCTTTGACGCCGATTTTCTTCGATCTTCTGGTATTTTTATTCTATTTACTTATATTAAATTTTTTAACATAATCAAGTGTGTAAAATTGAAACTGTACCGACATTAAAGAGAGTGTTTTTTTTCCCAGATGGCTGCTATTTTTCCAGTTCTGGACATGTACTCCTGCATAGCGACCAAATGGTCCAGGCATTTGGGTTTTTGCGTGACCTACACCGCTCTGCTAATGAAGACCTGGAGGTTAGTCTGCGGATTTAGCTTTTAACGATGCAAACCAGCGAGCGGCCATTTCAAAGATGAAAGGCCGTTTTCATGACGCTTAATTTTATAATCCTTACATATAAAGCGTAGGTATATTTCGGGTTAATGAGTATAATAATTGGATAAAGTTTGGAAACTTTATTAATTTAATTAACATTTAATGGTGTACTAAGTTTTTTTTATTTATTTACTTAACTCTTTCTTAGTTTTGTTGTACCTAATAGTAATTATAGTTATATTGGGTCTCAAAGTTTTTACATACCAATATTGCTAGTAAAAACAGGGGTTGATGGTAGAACGGTGAAAATTTTGGGTTGTATGTATTTTTTAATGTCACAACATTAAAAAAAATAAAAAAAAATTGGGGTGGGTCACCTAGGGGTATAAAAAATAGATAACAACCTATTATCAGACCTGCTGAATATACATATAAAATTTCATCAAAATCAGTAAAGTCCTTACCAAGGAGTATGTTAACAAAAACTGTGATACGAGAATTTCATACAGGACGTCTCAGAAATAAGTGCAAGTATTTTAACTGGTTCAGCCCCAGAAAAACGGCCATGAGGTTTTTTTCGCGAAAAAAAAATTGAAAATTCGAATTTTTTTTAACATTTTTGGATTATTTTTAGTTTTTAGTTAAAAAACATAATTTCTTGATAATACGGCAACGTAGGTATTAGATTAAGTTTACATGGAAGAAATCCAGTGAAGTTCCAGTGTTTCTCAAAATTTTAGCAAAAATTAGTAAAATAACTCCGTTATTTTGGACTTATTTGAAAAACGATAAAGTGAAAATATGTTTTTTTATCGAGATCTACCACCCCTTAAAATACTTACACTTATTTCTGGGACACCCTGTATATTAGACTAGTAGACCTGGCCACGCGTTCCTGTGGCTAATGTTTATTGAAATTTGGGTAAATACCATTATACCCGGTATATACCCAATCATACTCATGTTTTTAAGGTATTCTAACAATTTATTATTGAATTACCAATATTGCTACTAAAAACATAGGTTGATGGTAGAAAGGTGAAAATTTAGGGTTGTATGTATTTTTAATGCCATCATTAAAAAATAAGAAAAAACTTTTTTTTAGTTTTTAGTTAAAAGCATAATTTCTTGATAATATGGCAGCATAGGTATTAGATTAAGTTTACAACGAAGAAAATCCAGAAAATTACCAGTCGTTCTCAAAATTTTAGCCAAAAATCATTTTTTTTGGGAAATTTTCAAAGTAAAATAACTCCGTTATTTTGGACTTATTTGAAAAACGATAAAGAGAAAATATGTTTCTTTTATCCAGATCTACCACCCCTTAAAATACTTGCACTTATTTCTGGGACACCCTGTATATTAGACTAGTAGACCTGGCCACGCGTTCCCGTGGTTAATGTTTATTGAAATTTGGGTAAATACCATTATACCCGGTATATACCCAATCATATGCACGTTTTTAAGGTATTCTAACAATTTTTAAAAACAATAATTCATTATTGAATTACCAATATTGCTACTAGAAACATAGGTTGATGGTAGAAAGGTGAAAATTTAGGGTTGTATGTATTTTTAATGCCACATCATTAAAAAATAAGAAAAAAAAAATTAGTTTTTAGTTAAAAGCATAATTTCTTGATAATATGGCAACATAGGTATTAGATTAAGTTTACAAGGACGAAAATCCAGAAAATTTCCAGTGGTTCTCAAAATTTTAGCCAAAAATCAATTTTTTTTGGAAATTTTCAAAGTAAAATAACTCCGTTATTTTGGACTTATTTGAAAAACGATAAAGAGAAAATATGTTTTTGTATCGAGATCTACCACCCCTTAAAATACTTGCACTTATTTCTGGGACACCCTGTATATTTGACTAGTAGACCTGGCCACGCGTTCGTTCCTGTGGTTAAGGTTGATTGAAATTTGGGTAAATACCATTATACCCGGTATATACCCAATCATACTCACGTTTTTAAGGTATTCTAACAATTTTTAAAAACAATTCATTGCTACTAAAAACATGAGTTGATGGCAAGAACAGTTAACCTAATATGACTGCTCATTCAGCCAAAAGTGTCCGCCAGGTACATGCGAAAACTACTCGCTTTGTGACGTCATTGTAGTCCTTGTCATGGTTATTTAGTCCTTATCTGGCAACCAATAATACAGAAACGTGCATTATTGGTTGCCGACTGCAAAACGTTCATTATTTAGTTTATTTATTTAAATACCTTATATGTATGCAGTATAGAAAATTAACTGTATAAATCGTATTAAATACTCGGATAATGCATTTTTAAAAACATCAGTTCCCAGCATCACCTTTTGCAAGCATTCTTTTAAGAATACTTCCATATTTTGCTTTAAAATAATTAATAAACAATATCGTGGGCACTTAGTAAGCACTTTGTCACAATCCACAACACAAAATGAACGTATTTAGACACTCTATAGCTCTAAAAACTTTAGAGACACCTTTTTCACATTTAAAATTGACAAAATAATTAACTCAAAATTTCTCAGCTGTTATTTTTATAAGTTTACCATAGGCAACTAATAATACACACTATCATGACAAGGCAAGGACAAGGCTTTGACAAGAACTACAATGACGTCACAACTGTCAGCTGAAGCGCGGGAAGAGGCGAAAGTACGTCTTATGAGGATGAGCAATCCTATTAGTTTACCGTTCTTGGGTTGATGGTAGAATGGTGAAAATTTAGGGTTGTATGTATTTTTTAATGCCACATCATTAAAAAATAAGAAAAAAAATTGGAGTGGGCCACCCTTATCTTAGGGCTTTAAAAATAGATAAATATCTCTTGTCAGACCTACTGAATATACATATAAAATTTCATCAAAATCGGTTAAGCCGTTTCGGAGTATGGTACCTAAACTGTGACACTAGAATTTTTATACCGTGCCGATAGTTTTCTCACTGTAAATAAAAAGAAAGTTTCACCATTAAAAGAATATCAGAGTACGGAAAAAGTGTAAACACTGACGGTAAAATCGAAACAAACGTTGGAGCCGTTAAAATGTTTCTCCTTTTAAAGTTAATCAATAAGAAAGTCAAACAAAAAACTTTGAAATAGCCAATAAAACCAATTAACAGGCTGAGAAAGCTTTTTCTTTTGTGTTTACTTTTCCATTACCTTTCTTTGTTTTGTAGAAAAATCTCGAAGCATTTTTCTTATTAGGTACCCTCCAAACTAATATAAAAATCTTACCAAAAAATCCTATATGGGTATTTCGCCACTGCACTGCAAGAAAATCTACAAAATAAAATAGTTATTTTTTGTAAACACTTCTGCGTTAAACCTAAACGGACATTACTTGTCAGAAGTTATGTATACAGTTATACAAATTTGCCTAACATAGAAAAAAATGCTTAACGTTCCGGAAAGTTTATCTCTTTCCGTCGTCGGAAGCAAAAAAATACAAAGAATAAAGAAAAAAAACTATTTAAAATATTTAAATTCAACTATTCGAGAACACTTTACTTTTTTAAAACAGATACGTCTACAAGAAACTGTTGACGTTCTGTTAAAATGACATTATCAAATTAACCTTCAAAATTAACAATTACTACCTGATAACAATTACTTAATAAGGTAAAACCAAAAAGCACCAAACTTTCTGTATGATTATTTTTAAATTTCACGTATGTTATGTTTATTTATGTTGTGTTCTTTAAAATCAAAGAAGCGATTGCCATACATTACTAACATCTACAAATGCATGAGCAATACATTTATTTTTATTAGATTGAATTAAAAAAATCTCTTTTATTTTTCTTTTAGAGGCTATCGCTTCTTTTATTATAATTTTGGCGTTATTAAAATGTATTCTGTGTCCTGTGTCCCATGAATGCCGACAAATCTTAGATTTGTGAAAATCTCCGTTTCTTAAATAATCTTTATGTTCTTTAATTCTAACATTTCAGGGTCTAGATATTTCACCAATGCAATTTTCATTTTTGCTAATATAAAAATATCTTATAAATTAATAAAATATATAAAAGAACACCTAGATTGGTTTTCTTTAGCATTGTTTTCCAAAAAAAAAAATAAAAGTGTACTATTTTAATTTATCGTTTTGAATAAAAACAACTCTCATTGTGGTTCCTTGTGAACAACTTCTACCATTGAATGTCTTGACTAAGGAGATATACAAATATGTTTACTTATGTTCTACAGGGTATCTTTAACGTACCGAGTGAAGTCTGCTCACAAAGTTAAACTGACTGATAAGCAACTGCTGCAATGGATGGTGCCAATTTTGCTGGTGATGTTGATATACCTAGGTACTTGGACGTTGTCTGATACTCCCACAGCTGAAGAGATTGTTGATAACGACGATTTAAGGTTCAAGCAGTGCACTTACAACTGGTGGGATCACAGTTTAGCCATAGGTGAGCGACAAACTTAATTTTATGTTTATTATATGATTGTTATACTTATTTTAGGTGAAGTGCTGTTTCTTGCCTGGGGTATTAGAGTGTGTTACAACGTCAGAAATGCGGAATCACTTTATAACGAAGCCAGATTGATCAGTTATGCTATTTACAACATCGCTCTTGTCAACATTCTGATGATAGCCTTTCAGTAAGTAAAAGTTTTTTAAACTATTTCCTCTATAGCCTTAAATACTGACCCTAGATCATATATACTTACGTGGATAAATCAACGCCTTATTTCAACCTTCCTTATTGCACTTATGAAACGTTCAATAGGTTTATCTTTCTCGAGGACCTTACTTTGCGCATGCGTATTAAAACTTGCACGTATTTCCAAAATAATCACAATTTTATACGGTTTAGAAAGTACATATTATACATTGTTATGGAAACCAACTTTTCATTGTCATCATATTGTCATAATCATATGTCATAATCACAAAACATCCCCCTTTAGAACTTCGTCTGTCATGTTAAGAAATGAAAGTAAATAATAAAGCGCCTCTCGTGTTTGTTCGCACTCAAAAAATTTCAATTAATGCCTGTATATATTTTTAATATATTTTTTAAATTTACATTTTTTTAATTGCAAAGTAATATATTACATTTAAATGGAATATATTACATAACAATTATGTCAATTACAGGATTACAAGCTTATTTTCTAATATTTTTTAAATAAAACGAATTATAAAATTTCAATATATGTATATTTGTGGTAGGTATGAAAAAAATAAAATATAAAATGGATAAACGCTTACTTACATTGTAATAAAACTTCCACTTTTAGTTTTGCAATCCAAATGCAATATTTCTATTTCACAAATAAAAATATCCGACAACACTAAAATCACTGAAACTTCCGCGGCTGACAACGAAAACTGAAAAATATAACGGCACTTTTTGTTTTGGACATGCATATCAACATTACGCTGTACTATTATGTGTTTGTTGTTGAAATAATATAAAATATGTAATTATAACTTGTAAATTTTAATATTTTAACATGATTTTAACTACTTTTGACAATAACTAACTTTCATCTAACTTTTTGTTATCAAGATGACATTTTAAACGGCAACTGACATATATGTCATAATATTTGAATCTTAAATATCTGTGTAATATAATTTAAATTACTATGATGCAACTTTATATTAAGAAAACATTTATACATTCACAAAATACAACAAAGTCTAACAATAGTTATAGTTTCAAAACAATGAATATTGAATTAAAATTAAAATAAAATTTAAAAAAGTTAAGCGCGACCTCTTGTGTCAAAATTAGATGATTAAATTTTCGCAATTTTTTCACCATTTGATGACCGGTGGCGCCTCTAGTGTTTGTTCGGGTGGTTGGTCTTTTACTCCCGCTTATGGCCATTAAAGAAAAAGTTCTAAAGGGGGATGTTTTGTGGTCATAATCTTATTTCCATTGTGTAAAGACGCTTGTTTTTTGCGTTTTTATTTTAAAAATTGTATTAATCACTCTTTTATTGCCCGCTTTTATATAGCCAAGGATGCAAGTTTGTTCAGTGATAAGTTAATTTTAAGTTTGTGCAACTATGTTTCTATTTTTTTTCGTTGGACTTTCTAAATACTCGTAAAAGTGACTAGAAAGTGTTTAGTGTGTGAAAGTTCTAATATAAAGGTCCCCGAATTATCTTTTCATAGGCAAGTAAAGTATTCAGTTGTTATTTTATTTATATTAAGCCATTCGTACAGAGTGGCTAAGTATTTTTTATATAATTTAATTTTTGTGACAGTAAAATTTATTGTTCAAATATAAGCATTTTACACTTACGTTAACTGTACTTACAGGAAAAGAAATCATGTAGAATATCATCGCAATATACAACCTCAGGAAACCAGACTTCAAATGCTAATGCCTCAAAAGCTTCGCTCTACTTTAACATTAGAAAAATCTACTGCAGGCGGGGATAGAAATCTTCAACTCTAAGCAATCATGGACTATAAACCATGAACCATTTATACTTTCTACAATGTTTGCAGCTGCGCTAATTGCTGTGGTACACTTTTTTTTACCATAAAGCAGGCATGTATTAATCTTTAACTTGCAGTTATTATTAAGTCCTGTGTGCACTAGTGCTCTCCAACGGAAGACAAAAAGTCACGATGCAATGAAGACTTTAAAGATAACATAAGGACCCCTTAATATTACCATTATTAATTAATATGAAAGGTTAAGGTTAAATCCTTCCCAACTCTTCGAGCTCATCGTCTATTTTCGGGGATTTTTGAGACATATCAGCCCAAGTCTAGAGAAATCATTTAAAACGATTTTCAAAACTGTGAGACTTTTTTCCACCGATTTTTCTAATTTGACTGGGCTAGTTCTTTAATTTATAACGCTGTCAAAAAAATATACCGTGCCATCAGCATTTTTAGCCGTATCTTCCTCCACGCTGTCGTGAAAATATCGGTTTCATATTGACGACGGCGGCGAATTTAAATTAAAAACATTTTTTTCCACGGAAAAGATGGGGGAAAACGAAAGTGTCGACGTGGCAATTACAAGGGGAAAATGTATTTTCTTCGGCTGCTGTCACCGCTTGTTCCGCGTTACAGATTCGTTATAAAGAAAGAGAAAATAAAAAAAGGTGAAAATCAACGATGGGGATGCAAACGAAGTGTATGACAAGCCATCTGATTTGATTCCTGATTGTTAGAATTTGATGAGATTTCAATTCTGCAAATGGTAGAGGAACAAAAATATAGTTTGTAATTTAAAAAAAAAATGTTTCTTCTTCTTTTACTTATTTGAGATCTTTCGATCTGTTAATTTTCAAGTTGCCTCGGTAGTTCTTGGGAGATGGTCTGCCAACTGTCTTTCCATCTTTTTCGAGGTCTTCCTGGCTGTCTCTTACCCATGGGTTTCCCTTCAATATCTATGCGTGCTAGCCTGTTTTCTTCCATGCGTTTTACGTGTGCGAACCATTGTCTTTTTCTTCGCCTACCCCATCTCACTACGTCCTGTATTCCACATTGTTGTCTGATATTTGTGTTTCTAATTCTGTCTCTTCTAGTCTTCCCCATTATGGTTCTTAGGTTCTTCATTTCGGCGATTCTTAACATGCTTTTGGTCTTGTTTGTTTCCTATCGGATTTAGTTTTTTATTCTCGGACCCTAAAAATACGAAACTCTTGTTTAAAACCAAACAAGGTCTAATAAACAAAATAAACCTACCTCGAATTACTTCCGAGGGCTCAATAATAAACAAAGCAACTGTCCTTTCTTCCATGTAACATTCTGGAGGAGAACACCAATGTGCCAGCAAAATACAAATACGAGTTAAGGTGGGTCAATTCAAAACTCTACTTTAAAAATATTCAATAATAATAACAAATCTAAAAAAGATAATAACTCATCTTTACCTGTAGCTTCGAAATGGCAGCCGATTCAAATTATACAGCAATATTTAAATTACCATTTCTAAAAGCAGAGTGACCAGAAGTGAGGTTAAAGCGCAGAGAGGCGCCTTGAAACGATCTTGACAGCCCACCACAGAACAGTGAAACAATAACAGGGTTGCTGACTAGAGAACGTAAAAATTACGCCAGGCGCGTCAAGTAAATTATCAGGCCTCAGCGATACGGAATCCGGTGATGATACGCCAGACATCATATATCATATATAAAAAAGACATGTAACGAACTAAAAACGTTACATGGCTTCTCAGATCTTTCTGCCGATCATGGTAGTGCGACATAGTGGATCATGGTAGTGCGACATCTATTTCTAGGTATCTGAACTGTGATACTTGCTCAATAATTTTGTTTTCTACTACCAGTTTGCATCTTACCGGCTCTTTAGAGAAAGTTAAGCATTTAGATTTTTTTTCTGTGGAGATAATCATATTTAATTCTCGGCTTACTCGATAGAATTTATGAGCTGTCTCTGCATAATCGTCCGCTGTCTCAGCGTAATACACCATGCTAACTCTGTTGTGTCCCTTTCGATAACCAATATTCATCGAGGTCACCTTTTCTATAATGATGTCCATTAAAAGATTGAATAAGAAGGGACTAAGGCTGTCTAATTCTTCCTGGTGTTAGATTATTACCTGCTTTCACTTGAGTTGTGTTATCGATATTTAGCTTTCTGATAATTTTCACAATATTATCAGGCACTTTTTTCTCTTTCAGTATGTTTATAATGTCAGATAGACGTACTTTATCGAATGCTTTAGTTAAATCGATTAAACAGATATAGGCTGGTGTATTAACCTCTATTGCTTTTTTCTTTAAGTTGTTTAATGATAAATACAGCGTCTGTAGTTGATCGATTTCGTATAAAACCTTGTGGTTCGTCCCTAATCGTAATTTGTTTCTCGAGTTTTCCTTTCAAAATATTAGTGAAGAGTTTCATGGTTGTATTTAGGAGTGTTACGCTCAGAGATATGTTTTTTAATTTGAACATTTAAGGGTCTAGATGTTTCACCAATATAAAATTTATCGTATTCAGATGGTATTTTGTATATTACATTTTTAGTTTGTTGGTTTGTATTCATTGGTTTAGTATGTGATAAAATGGATCTAAGTGTATTTTCTGTTTTGAAATATGTTCGTATGTTATATTGTTTTCCTATCCTTCTTATTTTTTTCCGAAACGCCTCGTATGTATGGAATTGTAAGTTGTATATATTGTTTGTATTCTGTCTATGATTTGGGGTTTGTATTTCGTTTAATGTTTTGTCAATAAAAGATGGTAGATAGTCGTTTTTATTGGTGTATTTTTTATCTGGTTTGTATCTCTGTTTAGTGAATTGTCGTCTGAACATATTTTTTTTTGCCCTAAAATAATATGTTCCTAATATGTATATTTTATGAGTTTTATGTTTTAAGTACGCCACTGTCGAGCCTCTACGAACTCCAGCAAATGCTCGAGTAGAACTTTAAATCAAAATTAACCCTCCCGTTGCCAAATCTATATTAAATTTGCATTTTAGTTGATTAGAGGTAGATTTCAAACCGCTCGTATCTTTCCAGACATATTGCTAAACGAGCGTAAAGTTAAAGGTAGTATAAACGGGATCGGTATTGTTTGTAATTGGATCGATATCAGCTTTCGAACAACTCTAAAATACGTCATTATTATGTCTACTCCGCTTGTTATTTCTCATGAC